GGGGGAAGAGACAAACATGCTAAAATTTGGTTAATACTATAAATATTTAAAAAGAATAGGTTTTTAAAGGTAATCCAAACATTTGCAAATTTTGATGCAATGACAATTTAATAATGTTGATTAAGTATCATCACTTGGTTGTTTCATGTTGGAAATAAATCAAGCATACAAAACACTGTTACTACATTCACTTGTTTTATCTGTAACTACTGCCTATTTTCTTAATTCTTCTATTGAGTTTTCTTTAATTTTTCCCTCTCCTGGTAAAAAAATCATTTATTAATAAAACCTTATTTACAAAGCAAAGAACCGAGAAGGATGTAATTGATAACTTAGAAAATTTCTATGTTGCAAGATGGATCAATACAAAGAAACTTTTTTCTAAGAGAGCAGTGGAAGTTTATCGTTTACAAATCATGTATATATGAAAGTTAGCGGGAAATGTGAAAATAGCAGTGGAAGTTTATACTCGGTAACTTTCATATATACATGATTTGTAAACGAATGTGAAAATAGCAGTGGATGTTCATTGTTTACAAATCATGAATATATGAAAGTTAGCGAGAAATGTGAAAATAGCAGTGGATGTTCATCTGTTCTTTTAGTACGTCCTGTATATTGTCAGAATGGTAACGGAAACTGTTCTTTTATACATCCTGTATATTATCAGAATATTAATGGAAACTGTTCTTTTAGTACATCCTGTATCTTGTCAGAATTTTAGGAGATATTTTTATGATGCACTGACCACGAAAAGTTGAAGGAAATGGACATCTATCACTGTAATTTTAATAATGAATTAAAATATGTATAATCACTTTTATCTGATATATTCTTTTATATATATATATATATGTGTGTGTGTGTGTACACATGATGTTTAGAAGAATTATGTATCTTAATGCTTTAAAAATATATATTTTGTTATTACCTTAATTTCACATTACTCGGTAACTTTCATATATACATGATTTGTTAACGATGAACATCCACTGCTATTTTTACATTTCCCGCTAACTTTCATATATACATGATTTGTAAACGATGAACATCCACTGCTATTTTCACATTTCCCGCTAACTTTCATATATACATGATTTGTAAACGATGAACATCCACTGCTATTTTCACATTTCCCGCTAACTTTCATATATACATGATTTGTAAACGGTTTCTGTTACCATTCTGACAATATACAGGA